TGTTGCCACACTTGAGTCCATCGATGCTGCCACTTGGCCAATCCATCTCATTGGGGGTCTTCCTCTTTTTCTCTGACCCTCTACCTTACCAAACATGATATCCTCCTCCAGCAACTGGTTCTTCCTGACAATATGTCCAAATATGAGAGACGTATTGTATTAGGCAAATCTGCTACACAAGACCTTTTTAAAGTGTTGAATAGCAAAGATGCCAGCTTGAGGACTAAGGTGCACCTGACCTAAGCCATGGTGTTTTCAATGCAACCTCATATGCAAGTGAAAGCTGGACAGTGAATAAGGAAGACCATAGAATCAATAGTATATAGGGGGACAAATACACTAGTGAGGTATGCACACTATAGAATGGTCAACCATTTGAAATCAAAAGGGCAGAATTTAGCTAAAGAAAAATTTGAGAAGAGTTGGGAAAGGAGGAGGAATGAAACCAAGAAACAAAGGGAGAAAAGTTGAATAGGTGATGTTGCATTCAGGGGATTGAAATCATTGAGATGAAAACAAGTGTATGGTTAATTGAATGTAAAACTAATGATCTGTTCCATAAATCATCACATAATTCCCAAGAAGAAGTTTATGTATACTAAAATAAATAACATTTGAATTTTGAAATATTGAGAACATGAATAATGAGTTGTTGCTTTCAGCCAAGATCCATCTGATATCAGCAATGATATCCTTCATTCTATGTCCTCTTCTGAATGTGGCTTGTATCTCTGTAAGTTCTCTGTATGTTTGCAGGTGTTTTTGGTTTATCTTTAGCAAATTTTACTTGTATGAGATATTAATGATATTGTCTGATGATTTTTCATTCCACTGGGTCATCTTTCTTTGGAATGGGCACAAATATGGATCGCTTCCAGTCAATTGGCCAGGCAGTTGTTTTTCAAATTTCTTGGCATAGACAAATGAGTATGTGCTTCATCAGTTTGTTGAAAGATTTCAATTTGAATTCCATCAATTCCAAGGGCCTTGTTATTTGCCAATGACTTGAATATACCTTGGACTTCTTCCTGCAGTATCATTGGCTCTGAATCTTTTAAAATGCTTG